TTTTTAAAAAAAAAAAAAAAAAAAAAAAAAAAAAAGAAGAAAAATCTTAGATTTTATTATTGAAAATTAAACGAGATCGTCAAAACTTCCGGTGCCGATGACAATAAAGTTTTTATCCAACTCTATCTCACATAATCTTAGATTAACGAACTACAAAGAAATTTTAGCCTATGGTAAGAAATAAGAAAGGAAAAATGTAGAAGTAAAGGAAGTAATTGGTAATATTTAGCCGCAGGTGGAGCGACTGATAGCCAAGGGACACGTGGTTAAATTAATCTCACCATTGTTAATTAAAAACATCAACGCTCGTTACTAGATATTTTCTTTCTTATAATTGACCGCTGCTGGGTTGGTAGTTTCGATGGTTTTGTTGAGCTTCCCGTGTTTGCAATATAGTTTCTGGTGTCTGCGCTGACTATGTGGCCGCGAAAAAGCTTTGCCACAAAGTGGACAGTAATACCAAACTGGCGGCGTTGGATTTGTCGTTTTTTTTCGACGCTTCATTTGCGGCAACTGATGGTCGGTCAAGGGCGGCACGCACTCCGATTCAACGATCGATGGTGTTGATAAATAAATGTCATCGATGTCGATCTCAAGGAACTGCTCGGTGAATATTGACTGGTCGATGTCTTCGGATTCAGTTAGCCAGGCGCTCGTCAGCATCGCGTCCTCTGCGTAAATAATAATTATCGGAATTATGGACATGTCTCATTAGTTATTCAGTGAGCGACGCTTGAATTCGGCGATAGATAATTTTTATTTATTTATTTTTTTTTTTTTGCTTATTATCGAACGCTGGTGGTTGGTTGTTATTTGGGAGTCATTCGCTAGCATTAACGCATAACTCATTGCGGATGAGTAGCTTAGCATATTTAAATCTATAATCTTTCAAATTTTTCAATAGGAATTTTTGACTTATAATGTTACAAGTGCTAGAAAACTGCAACAATTCGTTATATCATTGTTGTTCGTTTTATTTGAATATTTATTAGGTGTTTTAATCTAGGTGCCGAGGTGATTGGTACGCTATTTTTCCATTAGAATTAAAATTGTTAAGAGAAACGGATTTATAAATGCGAGACATTGTGTTTGACTAGATAAAGATTCTTAGCGCATGTAATATTTTAAACCAAAAGCGAATAAAAATGTACGATAAATATTTTATTCGCAAAACAATATGCACATAACGACACAAGGACATAATTATCCTATAAATAATGCGAAGAAAATATAATCTTGGATATATTTGATCCACGATACGTTAAATGCTTAATGTATTAAACAAAACAAAAAAAAATGTCACTTAAAATATGTATTATGTCGTATTATATTTTAATGAAAATTATGTATGGAAAAAATGACAAGACATAAACGACTGAACTTAATTTTTACAAATGTAAAAAAAGTTCAATGGATTTTTTTTTTGTTATATATATTTATATATATATATATATATGTATATATAAATAACTTAAACATGATGTTCTCGGCTAAAATATCACTTTTCGTAAAAAAAAAAAAAAAAAAAAAGAAAAATAAAATAATACAAATAACTTTTAAATTTTTCAATCTTGGTAAGTAATTAATTGACGAAAATTAATTCCTTGGATAGTCAACGAAACATTAAATTTATTTGAATTCTTTCATTAAACAGCTTATAAATTCATATAAGTATATTATAGTAAAATAATTCTATATCTAATTTAAAGAAATTTAATATCGACGGATCTTAAGGCATTAATTAATTTATGAATTAGTTGTACATTAAAGTTGTAAATTGCATTTCATTATATTGTAATTCGTTTTAATTTTATTTCATTCACATCGTCTATATTGCAGTTATTATGATTTTTTATAACAATTTTGATGATTTGCCTGATTCGAGTTTTTAATGATAATATTTCTCTATAATGTCCCTCCATTTGTGGCCTTTATTCATTGGATATGGTATTGCTTAGCCAGACAAAGGTAGTTTTAATTTCCGGAATTCGGATCTGCTTGCTGAAAGAAATGAAAGTTTCATATTAGAATTGATTAAGTTTGCCCATGCGATTGCACAAAATCTCATACACGTCTGTCGATTTTCAATTCAAAAGTTCAGTTGTATTCATAGTGGTTCACATACGCATAAAAATGGATTAAATGAATTATCAGAGTCAGAAATTTTCAATTAAAAGTGCTTTTGTCCTGAAAATAAAATTTTTGTAAAACAAAATATAAAATATTCTTTTGCTATCCGAAGATAAAAAAGAAAGTGCGCGTCATTTTTTTGAGAAATATCCTCTTCAAACAGTTTGAAAATAATCAAAGTATGCTCCATAAGCTCAGTCATTAGAGCTGTATCTGAAAATTTTCAGAAAATGGCAGGTGAGATTTAGTTCGTATAAAAATAATAATTTATGAACAGATTATTAATAAAATATTGGATTGGCAGAATATTCAAAGGGGGAAAAAATAAGCGAAATCGAAAATCATTCATCTAAATGTCATTTTATTTACAAAAATATTGTTTTATATTCATAATATGACTGATAAAATCAAAGATTATAGTATTTTTGTTTTAAAAAAAAGAACTGTAATATCATTAAAAACGAACATAATTTTTTTTTTTTTTGTTATTGTTGTTGTTTTTATTTTTTTCTTTTTTTTTTCTGAACATTGTCGGATATCAAATATAATTGTTCAGTTCGATAGCTTATCATTAATTTTAAAGATGTTTGTTATTTTCATATTTAGAAGTTCTTTGAATTTATGTATGTAGATAACATAACGCTTGACGATAAGTTAAAATTGAAAGCAAATTTATAATTTAAGTGAAAAGTAAATTTTTTTTTATCATATAACAAACATTTAAACGTGTACAAAATATCATTGAGACACGAACCCTATAATAACATATAATCGCAAAATAATAAAAATAAAAATATCATCATCATTTCTTATCATCATCACCATTCTGGCCATTTTTTTAAACACAATTTAACAGTTTTTCTCGCATGTTTGACGAAGTACTCGTTCGTTAACTGTCAAATGAGTAATCGATTTCGATAAATGAATACTTTATTGTTAGTTACAAATTTTCCTTTCGTTTTTTAATGTACTAATATACAATAATCTATAATAATCTACTCTAATAATAATAATAATAATAATAATAATAATAATAATAATGATAATAATAGTAACAACAACAACAACAACGACAACGACAACAATAACGATAACGATAACGATAACGATAACAATAATAATAACAATAATAACAATAATGATAATAATGATAACAATAATAACAATAATGATAATAATGATAATGATAATAATGATAATGATAATGGTAATAATAACTGTTGGAAGTTTAAAAATAATACGATACCTAAGGACAGGTACTAGAAAACTGTATTGTGTATGTCTCCATTCATGTGCGGCGATGAAAAATGAAAAATTGATAATTGTTAAAAATGCTTCCCACCAACAAATAACGTAAAATAATAAATAAATATTTTTATGTAATTAAAACTTTGGTTTAATTCATCTTTAATGCGCACTTTGTGTATTAATCAATTTAACTTGCCACCCGATTTATATACGATTATACAACTATTGTGTACAATGATTTTCCAGCGATTCTCTGTTTACTTTTACAAATATCAAGATGTAATGTACTATCAGCAGTTTGATTCTTATAGGTGGCGCTTCAACGAGCATTATGCAAGTATTCTCGTAACGATTGAAAAATCATCACTTCACACGCTATTGTCATATTCTTTTTTTTCTTTATCAATTTTAATACAATTATTAATTATTACTTATAATTATACGTCGATGAATGTTAACTAATGCTTCTCAAATGTATAAAAAGATGGTCTCACCACTTCATAATGGATTAAGCGATTAGTCGTAAATATAATGGAATATGTGACATTAGTCTTAAATCAGGCAGGCAGGGCATATTTATTTACACAGCTTCACGAAATACATACGAATATACTTTTAGTGCCGAGCACGGCGTCATTTGTTATTCCCAGTCATTATTAAATTATAGAGATTTGAATTTGAGTTCATTGTAATGGGTAATCAATTGTCAGATGCAACAATTTTCTTAAAAATTTTCGCTTATTCGATGATAATTGAAATCCTCGATAGTTGAAATAACATGAAAACTTTCCCCTTAATAGATCATAATAATACCATGCAAGGCTTTCTTACGTAAAATGTTTGAATGTAGGGCGTAGTGAAAGATAGCGGAGTTGCTTTGAAAAATGAACAATGATCGGCTATTAAATGCAAATTCAAAGGAAAGACTCGCGCGTGACTCGAAACAATATTTTTCGAGAAAATCAAAAGGACTTTAGTTTACCCGATGCCAATCAACGACGAAGGACGAGAGCGAACGACACCCACAACCTCTCCACCGACATCCAGCCCTCGAATTCTTAAATTGTCGCGAGCGCTGCGAAACATTAGCCACCATTAGCTAAGCATAGGGAGGAGGAAGGGAGAAGGAGAATGAAAGGACGGGTAATGGACGGGCGAGAGAGTCAGGGAGTTGATCGATTCGCTAACGGGACTCGGCTTCACGTGCCCTTGAATCCGTGGACGCTGGCAACGTGCCGCTGGTAATTGGACTTTTGCTTGAAGGCCCTTTTGCAGGTGCGACAGACGTACCTTGGCGACTGGCCGCAAACGAAGCGCAGATGGCGCTGGAGATTATCCCGCCTCGAGTAGGAACGGCCGCAGTTGCGGCAGCTCAGCTGCGACCTCGTGCTACCTGAAGCAGGAATCAAGACGAGAAACACGTCAATGGGGGAAGGGGGGGGGGCGGGCGGGCGGGCGAGACTTTATAAAATCCATGCTCGAGTGTATCTGAGGCCTAATTGTAAATGCGTGCGTGTGCGTAAAGCGGCGATATTGAATTCGTCGTGTATGTGCGATTTCCCGACCTGGCGAACCAAAGGCTCTTTACAGTCTTTTTCCCGGATATTAGGTTCAAAGCCTTGTCACGCCCTGGCGCTTTATAATACGAGGATATCTGCTTCGTTATATTACCTTAAGCATATTTTACTTTAACAGTAAGACTATAATCTGTAAATAATTTTTAATGACTATTATATAACGAGCATTCTCTTGTTATTATTATTGTTGCTGTTGTTGTTGTTGTTATTGTTGTTGTTATTATTATTGTTATTATTACGCTTGGATATTAAGGGTGGGCAAGGGTAAGTGTAATTTCTATCTTCGTTTTGAAAGCGGATTTTTCCCAATGAAGTGGCAACGGGGACAATAAGTAAGTGGATGCTTTTGTTTATGATAAAGCATAATTCATAATTGTTGTGATAATGTATTGGAAACGTAGTAATTTCTGTTAATTTCTCATGCAGAAACGCATTCCGTGGAGAGCCAAGTAGTTAAGATATATTATGAATAGATATACAAAATATATTTGACCAATAGAGTTTTTTTTTTTTTATTTTTTTATATTTAATTCTACATTAATTAATTAATAGAACACGTGACATACATAAGATTTTTTAAATACATAAATTTAAAGATGAATAATCTCAGCGATGTTTTCCTCCCTTCTCTTTGTTATTGTAGTCTCATTATACATAAGATTATTAAAGAAAATATTATAATAGAATAAGTCAAATAAATTAATCACAAGGAAAACATTAGCTTACATTAATAATCTATTGGAATTTTATTAGAATAGCTAATTTTCCTCTAGACAATGTAATTTATTATTTATTATAGAAACATTATTATATTCGTGATTAATATTCGCTCTTTGTTTGCGCATTTTTTTTTTTTTTATTATACCGAAGCATAACATTTTTCGATACTGTGATTTTTATTTGTAAACTTTGGTGTAATGCACGAGCGATGCATTCTCATTAAACATATATCCATACCTTATTACTTATACGTAGATTTTTTTTTTTTTTTTTTTTGAATTTAATTAAAAAATTAACGTTATGTTTACTTTCAAACAACATTAATTAGCATTAATCGATGCTTTAATATTATTATCAACGTACGTATATATATATATATATATATTAAACTTTGAATTTGTATTGTGACAGAGCATCATATTTGCTGTAAGAAAGTAAAATTTACAGAATACAACATATATGTTTTATTTTCATTGTATATTTTGCATTTAAAAGGATTTTAAAATGAACAAGATTATAGAAATAGGGCTGATAATAATTAAAATATTAGAAATGTATAAACATATTTGTCTTATTATTTTCCATGATAAAAGTATCGAATAATCAAAGCTATGTGTTTAGTCTGTATCATTCATGAAAGGTTTAAGATAATTTTATGAATATTCGACAAAAGTTTAATTTTAATCGTTAATTTCTAATAAACGTATGTGAGTAATATAATATTTTTTCTCTTCTCCTCGGGGATCTACTAACATACTCGTTGCTTCATTATATAGTTCTGAGAGCTTATCGTGACGTGTGAATATTTATTCTCTTTCAACCCCGACGAACCATGCAAATTACATTGAAACAAAAAATATTGTTAAATAGTCGTTTGCAAATCGATTCTTAGACGGCGATTACAATGCCGTGCGCCCGAAGAACATTACTAATTAATCTTCACGACGAATCTCGCAAGATCACTTTATAAGCGAAGCTACTATTCGAGTATTGGATATTTGTTAGAATGTTTGGGCGATGCTCGGTCCGATGCGCGTGAAGAATGATGACCTTGAAGGCAATGAAGGGGCAAAGGGAAACACGTGAACTGCAGCAGCCCGCATTTGTGCTTCAGGTAGTAGTTGCTTCAGGCATTAGAAAACTTACCGCACGTGGCGTGAGTTTACGTAATACGGCGAATACTCAAAAAGTTTTATGAAGTGGATGATTGGGATTGCTGCAAATAGCATTGGGAGTGATCGAAGGGAGTTAGTTGCCAATGGATTTGCTCGTTGGGACTTTACAAATTGCTATATATATATATATATATATATATATTGATCATAGGGCATTGAAGTTTGACGACATGCTTTTACAAATTACCATAGTTTAAGCTATACATTAGGTTAATTCATGAGATAAGTTTATCGTGAGTTAAGGCTACGTGTAAGCACATAATGTAATAAATGCTATTTTACAGAAAATATTGACATGGAAATATTTATAGACTTCCTCGTCTCCTCTTAATAAAAGGGATGAAATAAAATTTGCACGTATCGATAGGAAGATGAGAGCATTTTTATTTTTTAGATTCGTTACTATTATATAATACAATTCAAAAGTAATAATAATAATAATAATAATAATAATAATAATAATAATAATAATAACGATAATAACGATAATAATAATAACGATAATAACGATAATAATAATAATAACAACAACAACGATAATAACAATAACAGTATATAGTAAGAATTCGTTAAAAATTTGTATTTATCAACTGTCAGATTTATTTATATCTCACAAATGTCATTGTATTATGATGATATATAATATGGTAATTGCACTAACAAAATGTAAATTTAGTTGATGTAAATGTTTCTGGCAGACAGTTACTAATGCAGATTATCTATCGAATTTTTTTTTTAATACAAGTTCATTATAGGCAGAAATGATAATTAAAGTATAACGATGCGCCATTAAATGTAGATGTAATAATAGCCGATTAAATCAATTGGAAAATGATGGAAAATGAACGAACAATAAGGAAATTTTATAATATAAAACTTCTCTCATCTTCGCGTGTTAATATAAAATTTGGGCGATCAGTACTCTGTAGCCCTACATTACAGCGATTTGGACTAATCGCAGATGAAAGTCGAAAACTACATGTAAGACAAAGTTTCCCGGACGCTTCGCTTAGTAACTAATCCGATTCGCCGATCATGCATTCAGCTAGCTGAATTTATCCTTCTTTAGTGGCTTTCATTAGAACATTTGCGAGCATCTTAGGGGCGAGACAGAGATTGCAGCTTAGTTTCGGCATCGAGTTCTCGCATTCGGGCTCTTTCCTTGTCTCCTCCAGAGCAATTACCGCACCATCTAAGACTCGTTGCAGGCCTGAACGAATAGAGAATTTACGTAACGGGGGCTCTGCGCTCTGCCCTTACCGATGCAACACTGAAACGAGAAAAACATCAATGAGATTAGCAGAGCGCACTACTTATTTACGGACTTTCTCCAATGACGTGGCCTCCTTATTTCTCACTTAACGACACGCCAATCCTCGCATTTTCAGCATTGCACTCGCGACAATTTATCAAAACTTTATATCGCAATGCATCTCCCAATGTAAGGGCTAAAGGCAAAACTCAGAACGTGAGATTTATCTACTGGCTTTTGATCTCTAAGGTAAGTTTTATTTTTAGTAAAATACCAACGGCTGGCAGTGGATTTTATCGTTTGCCATTGCAGATATTTCAGAGTCTTAAGATAATTTGTTATTTAAAAATATTATTCGCTTACATGAATTACGTCGTTTTTCATAAGCAGGTATTTTTTTCTTCGTCATGGCGTAATATTTAACTATATAGATAAAGTTTTGTGAATAAACTTATTATAATATATGTTAAATATCGATTATTAATAGGAAAATGCACAAAGGCGATGGAATATTGTTCTTTAACCATGGGAAACCAATATCTCAACAATACTCATTTGAGACTGTTAAAAATTAAATTATTTGTTAAAATTAAAATTAAAATCAATATGTACATGTTATTTATTATACTTTGCTCGAGACTTACCGCAATAAATACAAGAGTTTAATCATTTTCATTTGCATAGAGCGGTCAAATAATTTTTCATCCTTATAAATGTAACAGTGAAAAAAAAGGGGGGGGGGAACATACACGAAATAACGAAATAAAAAGATTATTTAGTCTTTACTACTTTTGTTTTACACATACATTAATTATATTTTCTTTATAGGCAGAAATATACTTGTCTCAATTTCCACAGTATCTTGGCAACAAGATAATTTTATCATTTAGCTAATGATTAGAAAATTTTAATAATTGCAATATTGATTAGGTCAAATCGTAAAAATGAAAAACATTTTATTTTAGTATTTAATAAATTGTGTACTTAGCATATTTAAATATCAAAGGTACAAAACCGTTTTAATTATCTAAAAAAATAGTCATATTTTCTTTAAGAATTTATCATCTCAAAAATTATTAGCATAAGCAAATCTAAAATGAAAATCAATTACCTAATTAAATGCTTTTTTTTCTCTCTCAATATTAAAATATATTTAATTTTTGTTCCGATAAAATGAATCGTAAAATTGATTCCTTTATACATTTAACATGTTGTTCTAACCGCATGCATTCACAATCGTAACTAGAATATAGAAATTACGAAATCGAACGTTCGCACGTTTTTCAAATTTATACGTAATAAAGGATAAGCGAATGATTTGTAGACAATTGGAAACTAGCAGATTCGTCGGAACAAGTTTTATCGTTCATATATAATGTATAATGAATGAGTTAGGGGCAAAGGATTAATGATTCACATACAATGATATCTATTTTGCCAAATGTCTATCTATCTAAGTATTCAAATCAAGTATTACATTCTTCCCAATCGTATTATACATAACAATAATAATTAACAATGAATGCTGGATTCAATGAACGTAAGATTTTTATTTTCCTTCAATCGTTAGCTAAAACAAGCTAACTAGCCATTGACTTTATTATTTTTAATTCTCATCACTTATGAATAGGATTGCATTGCGAAAATGAGCATAATATTGGAACATCCA